AGCATTATTCATGCTCAGAGCATTGTTCCTTATTTCTGTATTCCAAAAAACATTAATTAGGTGTGTCAGAGACACCTAAACTTAACATGTTCAAAAGAAAATCAGAGATTCAAAAACTACCTTTCCCCACATATATGCATTGGAGCATGTATTTTCGAATGCAGTGAATTGGGCCATCTCCCAGTCATCCATCCAGGTGAGAAACCAAGCAAATGTATTTCATACATCCTTCTTTCTCCCACCAACAAATAATTAAATATTGAACACTTCTACCATTTAATCCATTGTTTTTTACAAATATATCAACTTCTAATATTCTTATATTATATATTCCTTTCTTTATTTAGACTTTATCATCCTTTTCCTGGAAGAAAAGCCTAAGTACTGCTCTCTAACTTTTATCCTAGCCTTCAGTCTTGCAACTCTTTCTATGCATATGGCAGCCCAAGTATATTTCTTAATTTTCAAATCTTTGCTTGTTCTCCAACTGACTTTGGGATAAAGTTCAAAGTCTTTTACATGGCTAAATCAAGTCTTGAGAAACCCCTGCTTTGTGGACTAGTCTCATCTCTTGCAACATCCCTCATGTAATCTCCATTCCTCAGCCATATTGCATACCTTCAGTTTCTCAGATGTGACCACATAGTTCGTACATAGTTTGGTTATAGTTTCTTTACCTTCACCTCTCGGTTGGCTACATTCTTAGTACCTCAACTTCAAATCCCAGATGAAATTCACTTCTTACTATAGGCCTTTTATTCTCTTTCAAGTGTTGCTATGAACAAATCACCTATCTGTTGAATTATCTGTAACTTAATCTGAATTTCAAATACTCGGTAAACCACACTGGCTCTATTTTTCCCCAGTTTGATCTACAGTATCTAACAGGATGCAGCAATGAGAAGACAATCCAAATGTATATGTAGAATAATTGAACAAATAAATCAAAAATTCATGTTACTCCAAACCTTTTTTCACTACCTCAGTAACTTTGAATATTTTTCCTATTATTTGCTGTCTTTGAATAATATACAACAAATTTAAAATAATTCAATCAATATTGAAGCAAATTCTGGGGATACCAACCATACCTACCATTGCTTAAATGTTTTCAATGCATTTTGTATGGTTTGTTAGTCCCTCTAGAACCTTTTCCTTGCATTATATCATTTTTTAATTTTCTGAAAAAACAATGTAATGATGTCCCACAAGCATGAGAAATTATATTATTGTTGATCTTTGGGGATCCAATTTGCCTCACAGGCAAGCAAACACCACGTGAAATGACAGATCACTTTGATTAGCCCAAATCTA